TGTGTGCGCGCGCGCAAATGTGGGAAGAATAGCTACACATGTTGACAGTTTGTGTGTGTGAGACAGCGAGCGAGCAGAGGGGTGGGGTGTGTGTGTTTGTGTGTGTGTGTGTGTGGAAAGAATCGCCACATATGTTGATAGTTTGACATGGGGTGTGTGAGAGAGAGAGAGAGAGAGCGAGAGAGAGGGGCGAGGGAGAAAGATGAGGGTGGGTGGACCATAGGAGTGCAAATGCACCGACATTTGGGGTATAAAATCCTCCCCTGCTGAGACCCGCAGCTGGACGAGGGGGCCGCTTGGGACTGCCTCCCCCGACCCCAACTCCAAGCGGGGATGCTGCCAGAGGCGTCCTGGTGCTGATCCCGCTCCTCTGAAGAGGAGGGGCGCGCAGAGATGCCTGCAGCATCGGGGAAGCGATGGTGCTTTTTAAAAGAACGGGGGGGAAAGGTTGGAAAAAACACACATGGGAGGGAAAGAAGGACACAAAACCCCAACAACAACAACCATCTTTCTCGGGGGCTTTGTCCGCCTGCAAATCCCCCCCCCTCCCCCAAACCCAACCAAACAGAAGCAAGCTCCTGAAAGGCTGGCGCCGGGCAGGGTCCCGGGCGGGCGAGAGGCAGCGCGGCGCGGCGCGGCGCGGCGCGGCGCCCAAGGGGTTAAGGCGCCGAGCGCAGCCATCTGGCCGAGCGGGTTTGTTATAATCGCGCAGATTATGTTCGCGGGACTCAGAGTGGAAGGCTCCCTCCCATCGCGCGGCTCTGCACGGCCCCAGCAAACCAACTTCGGGACTTTGAATGAACGCATTTGCATCCACCTTTCTCTTCATGTCGGCTTCTCTGGAAACAGTCACACGGATGCCATGGTTACTCCTACCACGGTAAGGGACGGGGGCTGTTTTCTGCGAGGGTCCCGGGCCAGGAGGGCTGGGGAGGGGGGTCTTCCAGGGGTCTGCCCCCAGCCTTGCAGCCTTGCCCCAACCTGCCCTCCCTCCCAGGTCCTGAAAGCTCCTCTCTCCCCTTCTGCTCTACAGACTGCAGCTCAGGTCCCTGGCAGGGAAACAGCAGAGGAGAAATATGAGGTGCTAAAGGGATCCGATTTAAGAGGCGAAAGCAAAGGAGACTCATGGTTTGATTTTTTTTTTTTTTTGGTATTATTATTATGATTTTTTTTCTTTTTTTTTTTTAAAGAAGGAAACCAGCAACTTGAGCTGTAACAAAAGGGCTTGCGAGTCCCGAGCAGGGAACGCAAGAACCAGCCTCCCCACACACTACACTTGCCCCCGGGGAAAAGTTAGAGCCCATGACAAGCCAAGTCAGGATTCCCAGTTTCTAGACTTCGCCTGTCTCAGGTAACTAACTTCACCGGAGATTTTTTCCTCTTTTTTTCTTGTGTGCGAGACACTGCAAACCTGCCCTTTCCAGCTACTCTGCTCCACCTCTCCCAACCACCTAACCACTAGGCTCTCTGGAAAAGAGGCTGGAGAGCAAAGGACTCCCTGCATATCTGTGCCTAGGTGAAAAAGATCCACTTGAAAGTGGTAAAGCCAGAAACCCGTTCTTACACGGTGATTTCCAGGGTTTGGAAAGTGCCTTCTAGGAATGCAGTACACAAATGAGCAACAAACACGCGCACACACGCACAAAAAGAGAGGACTATAGAAAGCTGTTTCTCATCTAAACAGCTGAATTGCAGCTTAGAGCTGAGGAGTCCTTTTGGAGACACCACACTGCTGCTAGCCAAGGGGGGAAAGTCCTCGAATGGTTCAGATAGTTTTCCGATCGGTTCTTAATCCTTCGTTAAAATAAACGGGAAAGCCTAGTGTTTGTCTTATCGCTTAATCTATAAATATACAGGATGGAGAGAGATGGGTATTTTGGAGCGAATAGGCTGCTCTGACTGCATTCTCTGGTTCCTCTATTGCAAGACCAGTTATTTAGAGAAGAGCAGAGGGGATTTTTTTTTTAACAGACAGGGATGCATGACATACGGTCCACTCTGTTCATAAGAGTTACTACCTTTCAGACCGCATGCGGCATTCAGTTTGTGCAATTCCACTGTAGAAGGAATGCACATGGTGTTTGAAGTTTGCCTTACTCCTGTACCTACAGGAAAATGCCGTGGAAAAAAAAGACAGAGTACCTATACCTGCTCTGTCTAAGAAGGTAATGGGCTGGACTTGCTGACAAAGGTGTCTGCAAAACCTCAAACAAAATGATAAATATCCCCGTGCTTTGTGGCACAATGGACAAAAGCAGCAGAGAGGTAACTAGTGATTCCAGGTGCTGGTAGTATGAAGATTGGTCTCGGCTACATGTGTTGGTATGAAGAGCTCTGTGTGAGAGAGGGGATGGGGAGAAGAGAGGCTAAGTATGAAGGTGGGAGTGGGAAAGAGCGCATAAGGAAATGGGGCTGCGTGGGGGGGGCAGGAATAATAGCAGGGCTAGGGAGAGGAGTGTGGTATAGTAGGTGGCCATTGACAGAGGTAAAGGATGCAAAAGAGGCTTTTTGTGGGGGAACTAAGTGACGCATGTTAGGATTTTGGAGAAACTGGTGTGCTGAAGGAGAAGGGGATGCTATGTTGTTGGGTACTGAGAACAGGTATAAAGTGGAAAAGAGGCATATAGGTATTCCTGTGGCAGGTAGATGAGAAGGAAGATCTTTGTAGGCACAAGCAGTGTGCCTGGGAGACTATAGATGAAGTTATGAATGGGAGGGATAACAGGGTGTGGACTGGGGACTGGGTGAGGGGTAAAGGTGAAGGTTATTGGTGCCTGTGATTGTTGGCGCCTATGAAGGAGGCATGGGAGGTGCTGTGGGGGGGGGGGGGGGGGGAAGTGTAAGATATGGATTCAGGGTCACAAAGGGTGTTTGGGGGAGGAGAAGAAAAGGTTGTGTGTTTGGAGAGAGGTACAGAAATAGTCTGCTGAGGAATGCATGTGCGGCATCTAAATGAGGCACTTGTGGTTTTGTTGTGGAGCAGGCAAGGGAAAGCACTTGTGTATGGAGAGGCAGGAGCAAGCGGGGACAGGTAAAGGTGAAAGGAGCTTGTAAGAGTGTGGGGAGGAGGGGCAAGTGCGTGAAGAAAAGAAAAGTAATGTTGTATGGCACTGAGGGAAGGATCAAGGAAGTTGCCTAAGAAGACAGTTTTTAGTTGTGAAGGGTGACATAATGAATGTAAAATGAGTATGTGAGATAACAGGGGTTACGTAGGCCAGAGGGAGTGTGAAAGGAAATACAAAGATGTGGAGTCTGAGAAATATATGGGTAGCAAAAAGTGGAATATGAAGAGCATAAACATGAAGCAAAGACATGGGGTGCATAAAAGAAAGAGAAGGCACATATATAGAGTACAGATTGCCTTCGTGCCCCATGTAAAATCATATAAATGTTACCACTGGAGGGTAAGAGGAGTGATGATATATGGGGACGTTCCACATGTGAAAGGACTTTGAAAGTAGTTGACTGAGTGGCAAGGGGACCTTAGGGCAGGTAAAAGTTGGGTGTAGGAGAAAGTGTGGAAAGTAGATGACAGGTAATGGCCTGCACATGGGGAGCATTATGACTATTTGTGAGTGAAAGTACAGGCTTCTCGAAGAAGTGTAAGAGTTGTGTGCTGAAGAGAGGTGGAGGAGGTGATCAGGATGAAAGAACAGGGAGAAGCTTTCTGGGGAAGAATAAGTGCATGAGATCATGAATACCAGGGAGTAAGGGTAAATTCTGGGAATCTATTTGGCTGTAGAGGTAGAGGATGCTGTGGGAGGATAAAGGAAGCTATATGTGCATGCATGGCCGTTTTGGTGGTGTCTGTTTTTGGTTTGGGGAAAGTCTATGGAATGGGTTGCTGAATGCAGGAGAGCCATGGATAAGGGTGATAGGCAATAGGTATCTACTGCTTGTAGACTGGGTTAAGAGTAGATGTATGTGTGAGGATTGTGTTTCAGTTTTTGGCAGAGAGAGAGAAGTTTGTGCTGGGAACTACTTTCTGGTGCCGGAGAGGAAGATAAATTTGCATGGAAAGGCAGGAGTAGATGAGTTGTGTGCAAAAGCATATGGATGCTGTGGGAAGGGGTGCTGATGTCTTATCTTCCAATAAGAAGGCTACTGTGTACAATACAGTGACAGTAGATTGTATCTGATTAAAAAATGTGCGTGAGCAACAGTGTACAAATGTGTTTTGGGGGTGAAGGAAGACGAGATGGCTAAACAGGAATATGGGCTGATGTGTGAATGGAGAAAGCACAGGACATTTTATGTGCTCTTGTATACTGGTGGAATTAGGATTAGAGTAGAGAAGGACATTGGATATAAAGATACAGTAAATTGAATCAAAGGTGAAACATCATGATCTATCCCTGAATGCTTTGTTGAGATCAGCTCCTAAATGAAGGGCAGCTGGCTGCCTGGACAAGTTTAAGACTGAGGTGATGCTGGTGGCAAGAAGAACACATTAAAGAACTTGTCTCATAAACAAACTAACAAACAAAATACCCCCTGCATATCCAATAAAGGCATCTGTTCTCAAATTGCTCTGTTGGTGTGCAACCTTAGGGTCTCCTTAGGTACTGCGCTACATTTGGAGAGCCAGACAGCAATAGGGGAAAAGTGCCTACTTCTCTCTGCAGCCAGTCAGAAGATTGTACCCAATTCCATTAGACTCAGATGTGGGTAATGTGATCTGCACAAGTGACACGGGTCGTTGTTGTTTTTTTGTGGTATCTTTTATTGGACCAAGTGTATATTTGGGAAAGAGGTTTGATAAGCTTTTGAAAAAAGCTCCCTTCCTCAGGTTGCTGTGATCTGCTTGTTCACAAGATCTAGGCTCACAATATTCAAGCCAGTGAGAGCAAGGACCTCAGCTAGTGTAAGTCAATGGAGCCTTGCAGTGATTTACATTGGCTGAGAACCGGCCTACTATAGTTAGGAATTAAGCTTCACATCCATGCAAAAACCCTAGGTAATCCAGGACAGCTCAGCAGCAGAATATCCCAATTTACTACCTTCTCCAAGTCCAGTCCAAGTCTTTTCAACTTTGCATGTGGGACTGGTCTTGGCTACCTGGGAGATATTCTTCTTTGTGGGATCACCAGCTTTAATGATAGCTATATGCCATTGGAACTATGCAGTACTTAACCAGTAGGGGGAGACTCTTGACCACAGGAGAGTGACTTCACAGACAACAAAGTGGAACTCCTTGCCAGGTGAAAAAAGAATGACAACTCACCTTGTTGCTAGCTAAGCCTACAGCCTATCAAATTCCTACACTTCACACAGTACAAATCCATATGCTGTCTGGAAGGGAAGGAAAGAGATTGGATTTGCAGAGATGGGGGTTGGGAAAAGTGTAGAAGGCCAGGCAAATATTTAGGTGAAAAAGGTTTGGGCGTTGGTGTTAAGGACACAGAAATTCATGACAAAGCTATTGAAATCTATATCGGCAAAAGATGTTGAGAAAGATGCTCATATTTGTGAGGAGTTGGGGATATATGTGTTACTTTTCTCAATTTTAAAGGAAACCCATGAGTAGGTGGTAACTTATATAAAAAAGTTTAAAGGGAGGGCTGTGGGAAGTGTTTTTTGTGGCAAATATCTGCCTATGGTTTCACATCTATCAGTGTAGACTGTGAGGAGGGGGTGGTAGGGGCATTTGTGGGAGGGAAGGGGTGGGATGTGTGCAGAGCTAGGCAGTGCATATGTATGTGAGTGTAGTTAGGAGGTAGAGAATGTGTGTGCTGGAAGAGAAGTACAGGATGCTACACTTTGAGATTTACCTACAGCCTTGTGTAAATGGAGTAGTGTGGAGCAATGCTGGCTTTGAGAAGGCCCATGTAATCTTGTATTTCAGTACATCATCCATGAGGATATAAACAGGCTCTTTTCTCTGACAAGCTAACTTAGGCTGCTGTAGTTGAAGGGTGAATTGAGGGCTCTGGGTCCTCCATCTCCTTTCTGAGGTATCACAGATCCTAGAGGATCTCATAAGGATCATTTCTTGCACTGTTACCCCCCCCCCCTCACCTCCAGTTCACCCCACAAATGTACATATATTGGGCCTTTTGCTATCAGGCCTAGTAAGACTGA